GGAATCTTTGCATAAAGATGCATCTTTAAGAATTCATTGAGCTCATCTTCTCCTTTTTAACTATAGGTTAATATCTTGTTTTGATTTTCTTACAGTTGTGGTATCCTCTTTCAAAGACCTTAGCAGAAGAGGCAGCATTGAGATTTGCAAAAGATAATGGAATTGACTTGGTTACATTACTTCCAGGATTGGTAATTGGTCCCATGTTACAGTCAACGCTTAATTTCTCTGTGGATGTGATTTTCAACATCGTTAATGGTAATAACCAGTAACTGTTTAAGGATTATGAATATGATTATCTCTGTTTTACATGAATTTCTGATTTATCCTTAACTGAAGTAATTAGGCAGTAGCGTGCAACAAAATGTTCATGTTAAATAGCCAAACAAAAGCCTTTTTATATTGGTCTAATCATAGAACTGACATAAACCAAAAGGCTTTTTGTTTTAGTTTAATCGTTTTTAACTAAAAGTTGCTTTCTGGAAGAAGATCTTTTTTCCTTTTCTCATGGAACATGTGGCTTTACCATAATATACAATACTGCTATATATTTGAGGTCATTTGAATGCAGGAACTCAAACACTCCCTAGCCCTTATATACTTGTTGATGTTAGAGATGTTGCATAGGCACATATTCAAGTTCTTAAAGTTCCCACAGCGAGTGGCAGATATTTGTTAGTCAATGGACTTACGCAATTTTGCGAGGTTCTGAAAATTTTGCACCAACATTACCCTACTTTCAACCTTCCAGAAAAGTAATTTTCAAGATTGTTTCATTTTCAATTATTCATTTAGTGTGACATAGAATTTCCTGTAATGTGAGAACTAACAAGTTTTATTATACTTATGGAAGATTCAAAGATGCGAAGTATGAGCCAACATACCAGATTTCTAATCAGAGAGCAAAGAGTCTGGGCATCAAGTTTATGCCTTGGGAGGTAAGTCTTCAGGACACTGTTGAAAGCTTTAAGGAGAAAGGCTTTCTCAATTTCCAAGAAGCTACTGAAAGCAAGTGATGCAAAGTATTGAAAGGAAGTGTGTTGATGTCAATGCCTAAGCAACCAAAACGAGGGCCAATTGGCTGATGAAAATGAGTAATAAATGCCATTTAGCTATGTGCACAAGGTCTCAATTAAGGCTTTTATGCATCTATTTTTACCTTTTCTTTATTCAGCTGTCTATCAAGTGACTAGCACTAGCAGCTGCAATATTCTTCCAAGTCATGTATGCAAGACACAAAAGATTTTATAGCTCAACAAAAGAAGAAAATAAATCTGTGTAAGTCAAGTTGAATAATCAATCAAACTCTTTCTCCAACACAAAATGTAACATCTACAGATTTGATCTGCAACAAGAGCATTGTAACTGAAAGTGAGAATCCAAACTGTCTATTCCACGAAACAACCTAACAAACAGTCCACAGAAATTAAAGATCTATTTTTGCCCCTAAGAAAGCAACTGCAACTACATATGGTAGGTTTCAATCCCACTTAAAACAAAGGTCCTAGTTGGATGTTAATCCTTCAACTAGAAAAGAGTCAGCAAAGGATATGAAAATGAGCAATATTCATAACTCTAAAAGCATCAGTCCAGCATTCTCACAATTCATGTATACAAGACACACTAAGACATTAGGTAAGGGGTATACAAGTAACTTTCCAAAACCGTCGGCTGCCTTTGACTTTTGTGAAACCTGAAGATATTCTTGTTCTTAAAGTGCCATATGTAAGACGCTCGTGGACCTTTGCACTTAGCTCCACTTTAATATATAAATAAAAAAATGGATTCTCTGTACTTAGCTCCAATTGTACACGAGAATTCAAATTCTACTTGAACTCTAGCTCACAGAGAGATAGAGAGAATGAGTGGAGAAGGGAAGGTGGTTTGTGTAACAGGAGCTTCTGGATTCATAGCTTCATGGTTAGTTAAGCTTTTACTTGAACGTGGTTACACTGTCAAAGCTACTGTTCGTAACCCAGGTCGGTCTCTCTCTCTCTCTCTCTTTTGGCTCTTAAGTTGAATCTCTTCACGTTCTATTTCTCGGTTTAGTGGTCTTACTGATTAGATTGTGAGTAGATAAATTGGTCGGAGATTCATGTAATTTTTTTTTTTTTTTTGGGGGGGGGGGGGGGGGGTACCTTTATTTCACTTGAGAGGCCCAAAATGAACTTTAAAGTAACTATGCCCTCCACATGACACTCACAATGATTATAGCACCATCGAGAAGAAAGCTTTATTTTGATTGAACTCTTAAATCAAACTGAGTAGTTGGTATATATAATATGCATATGCCACAGATGATCCTAAGATAAAACACTTGCATGAACTTGATGGAGCTAAAGAAAGACTTCATTTGTTCAAGGCAAATTGTTAGAGAAGGATCATTTGATTCTGCAGTTGATGGCTGTGAAGGTGTTTTCCATACAGCCTCCCCTGTAACTATGTCAGCCAATGACCCGCAGGTTATGATTATTCCATATATTTCTGTTTCCTCCTTTCGTTGTATGCATACTACTTCCAACATTTTTTCTTCCATATTTCAGACAGAATTGATTGATCCTGCAGTGAAGGGAACCCTCAATGTTCTTAGATCATGTGCAAAAGTTCAGTCTGTCAAGAGAGTTGTTATAACATCTTCTGTAGTTTCAGCTTTATTCAATGGAAAACCTCTTAACCCTGATGTGGTGGTAGATGAGACCTGGTTTTCAGATCCAAGTTTCTGCAAGGAGTCAAAGGTGTGTAAGTGTTCTAATTTCTTGATACTTATGTCTTTAACACAATAATTTCCTTTATTTGAGATTTTGAGTGTATACCCTTTTATGAACTTCTCTTTAGCATAAAGCTTTCTACCTCTTATAATCAATTCACATGATTTATCTTCTATATCCAAAAGATGACAATCACTGACTGTTTGCCAGACACATAAGCATTTAAAGATCTCAATATACACTTTCTGTTTTTTTCCCTTTATGTGGAAGATTTTGGTGTGTTCAACATATGATTTTGTGGCCTAAGTTTAGGGAGATCCCCCACAAGGTAAGTATAGTCAGTATCTATTTGATCAGTTCTTTCCTGGAAACCCGTGTATTGCTTCTTCTCTTTTATTTTTTTTTCCACACCCCACGTCTCTACATAAAGAGTTAAAAGGAAAGTTAATCTTCCGATAAAGACTTGAAGCGTGATTAACTTGCAGATATCTACATCTAAGAATTTCTTTCTACTTCATTTACCCAAGTAGTAGAAATCAGAATTTCCTTGGTGATACACGTATTTTCACATAAGATGAATCTTTTGGAATTCTAGTTGGCTCATCTTTTTCTTTTTCACTGTAGGTTAATCTAATTTTGATTTTCTTACAGTTGTGGTATCATCTTTCAAAGACCTTAGCCGAAGAGGCAGCTTGGAGATTTGCAAAAGAGAAAGGAATTGACTTGGTCACATTACATCCAGGATTTGTAATTGGTCCCATTTTACAGTCGACACTTAATTTCTCCGTGGAGATGATTTTCAACCTCATAAATGGTAATAATCAGCAACCATCGAGGATTATGAATATGATTATATCTCTTTACATAAATTTCTAGTTTATCTTTAATTGAAGTAATTACGCAGCATACAACAAAAACTGAATGTTAAGTAGTCAAACAAAAGCACTTTTGTATTAGTTTGATCATGAAACTGACATAAAACAACAGGCCTTCTGTATTAATAAATCCTTTTTCAATTAAAAAGTTGCTTTCTGGAAGACGACCTTGTCCTTTTCTCTTAGAACTAACGGCTTACCATAATATACATTAGTACTAAATAGTTGAGGTCATTTTAATGCAGGAGTTCAAACATTCCCTAGCCCTTATAGACTTGTTGATGTTAGAGATGTTGCATATGCACACATTCAAGCTCTTGAGGTTCCCACAGCGAGTGGCAGATATTTGTTGGTTGGTAGAGTTACACAGCTTTGCGAGGTTCTAAAGGTTTTGCATGAACATTACCCTACTTTCAACCTTCCAGAAAAGTATGTTCAGGACTGTTGCAGTTTTATTCATTTCATTTACTGCAATATATAAATTTCAGTGTTATTTGAGAACTCACAAGATTTTGTATACTAATGGCAGATTCAAAGATGTGAAGAATGAGCCAACATACCAGGTTTCTAATGAGAAAGCAAAGAGTTTGGGCATCAACTTTAGGACTTGGGAGGTAAGTCTTCAGGACACTGTGGAAAGCTTTAAGGAGAAAGGCTTTCTCAATTTCTAAGAAGCTGCTGAAAGCAAGTGATGCAAAGCATTGAAAGAAAGTATTTCAATGCCTAAACGACTAAACAGAGGGCCAGTTAAACGATGAAACTGAGTTGTACATGCCACTTAGTTATGTGCAGAACCTCTTAAATAAAGCTTTTTATGTATCTATTTGATCCCTTTTTTTTTATCCAGCTGTGCATAAGTGATTGGCAGCTGCAATGTTCTTTCAAGTTATGTAGGCAAGACATTATTAAGCCAATTCTTCCTCTTACACAAACAGAACTGCACATCTAGAGATTTGTTCTGCAACCAAAGCATTGTGACCGGCAGGTGAAAATCCAAATAGTCTATCCCGCTAAACAGCATAGCCTACTGTCCACAAAAGTAAAGATCATTTTTGGTCCTAAGCAACTGCAATTACTTATGCCAAGTTTCCATCCCACTTAAAACAATGGTCTTAATTGGGTATTAAACATTCAACCGACAATGTAAACAAGAAGAATCACATAATTTTTCCAAAAGCTTTCGGCAAAAAATATGAAAATGAGGAATATTTTGAACTTTAAATGTAACAGTCCAGGATTCTCACATTTCATGCATACAAAGCATAATAAGATATTCAGTAAGGGGTATACAAGTCACTTTCCAAAATCCTCAGCTGTCTTCTTTATTTTGTCAAACCTGAAGGGGATAAGTGTAATATTCCTGTTCTAAAAGTGTCGTATGCAATACACTCTGGATAACTGGCTGTTACGAATAAGTGGCTACTCCTAGCATTAATTCCACCCTAATAAATAATGAAAGTGCATTCTTTGTATTTAGTTCCAATTCTACACGAGAATATTCTCCTACCTTGAACTCAAGTTCATAGACAGATAGAGAGAATGAGTGGAGAAGGGAAGGTGGTGTGTGTAACAGGAGCTTCAGGTTACATAGCTTCATGGTTGGTTAAGCTTTTACTTGAACATGGTTATACTGTCCAAGCTACTGTTCGTAACCCAGGTAAGTCTCTCTCTTCCTTTTGACTCTCAAGTTGAATCTCTCCAATTTCAACTTCTGGGTTTGCTAGTTTTATTGATAAGGTTACTATTAGATGAAGTGGTGAGTTATGCATCCTTTGGTTGCTTTTATATCACTTTAATGTGGCCTTCACATGATACAATGATTTTACGCACCATAAAGAAGAAGCATCTAGTTTGATTTAATTACAATATCAAACTGAGTAATTGGTTGTCTTTGCATATGCCACAGATGATCCTAAGATAAAACATTTACATGAATTCGATGGAGCTAAAGAAAGACTTCAATTGTTTAAGGCAAACTTGTTAGAAGAAGGATCTTTTGATTCTGCAGTTGATGGCTGTGTAGGTGTTTTCCACACAGCATCACCTGTACTTATGACAGCCAATGATCCTCAGGTTATGATTATCCCATACATTTCTTTTTCCCTTTTTCTTTGTATGGAACTATGAATACTTCTTCCAACATATTTTTACTTCCATATTTCAGGCAGAATTGATTGATCCTGCAATGAAGGGAACACTTAATGTTCTTAGGTCATGTGTAAAAGTTCAGTCTGTCAAGAGAGTAGTTGTAACATCTTCTCTAGCTTCAGTGATATATAATGGAAAGCCTCTTAACCCTAATGTGGTGGTAGATGAGACCTGGTTTTCAGATCCAGCCTTTTGCAAGGAGTCAAATGTAAATATTCTAATTTCCTGATACTTGTGTCTTTAACACAATAATTTTCTTATTTGAGTATAAACTCTTTTATGAACTTCTCTTTAGGGTTCCGTATAAGCTTTCTGCCTATTATAATCAATTGACAAGATTTATCTCCCGCATCCAAAAGATAACTCACGAAATATTTGCCGGGGAAATATGCATTTAAATATCTCAATATACTTTTCCGGATTTTCTCTTTGTGTGGAAGATTTTTGTATGTTAAACATATAATCATTTGGCAAAGTATAGAGAGATCCTATGCAAGGTATATATATATTCAAAAGCATCTATTTGATCAGTTCTTTTTTCTGCAATATACTTGCTTCTATGTAACTCTTTTCAAGAAGAGTTAACTCTTTGATCTTCGCATTAAGACTTGAAGCATGATTTGGAAGAAAAAAAATGCCGAAATCTAAATCTAAGAATTTTATCTACTTCATAGACCCAAGTAGTTGAAATCAGATTTTCCTTTGCTACACTGAATCTAAACAAATTATGAATAGTCTTGAAATTACTGCTACATGTTGAATAAGGTAAGATCTCTTGATTTGTTTACATTTTTCTCTGCTTAATAACTTTTACTAATGAAAGACAACTTTAAGTGTAAGGATACAGTAATTTTTGCAGAGATTCTGCTAAGGCTCAGCTTTTCCTTTTTTCCTGTAGGTTAATCTAATTTTGATTTTCTTACAGAATTGGTATCCTCTTTCAAAGACCTTAGCAGAAGAGGCAGCATTGAGATTTGCAAAAGAGAATGGGATTGACTTGGTTACATTACTTCCAGGAGTGGTAATTGGTCCCATCTTACAGTCAACACTTAATTTCTCTGTGGAAGTGATTTTCAACATCATAAATGGTAAAAATCAGCAACCATTTGAGATTCTGAATGTGATTGTATCTTTTTTACCCAAATTTCTAATTTATCTTTAACTGAAGTAATTAGGCAGCAGCATACAAAAAAATGTTCGTGTTAAATAGCCAAACAAAACCTTTTTGTGTAGTAATTTATATTTAACAGTTCCTTGTTACCTAATCCTTGCTAAGGAGTTGCTTTCTGGGGGGAAGATCCTGTTGTTTTCTTATGTAACAAATGGCTTTACCATAACATACATTACTGCTAAGTAGTTGAGGTTATTTGAATGCAGGATCCCAAATATTCCCCAGCCCTTATAGACTTGTTGATGTTAGAGATGTTGCATTTGCACACATTCAAGCTCTTGAGGTACCCACGGCGAATGGCAGGTATCTGTTGGTTGGTAGAGTTACTCACCTTGCTGAGATTCTGAAGATTTTGCATGAAAATTACCCATCTTTCAACCTCCTGGAAAAGTATGTTTCAGTATGATTCCCTTTTAATTGAGTTATTGTGATATAAATTTTTCACGTAATTTTAGAATTCTCAAGTTTTAGTATACTTATGGCAGATTCAAAGCTGTGAAAGATGGGCCATCATTCCAGGTTTCTAAAGAGAGAGCAAAGAGTTTGGGCATCAACTTTAGGCCTGTGGAGGTTAGTCTTCAGGACACTGTTGAAAGCTTGAAGGAGAAAGGCTTTCTCCAATTCTAAGAAGATACCGAAAGCAACTGATGCGAAGCATTGAAAGAAAGTGTGTCAATGGCCAAGCTACTAATCAGAGGGCCAATTAAACGATGAAATTGAGTTGTATATGCAATTTACTTAAGTGCACAACCTCTTAAATTATAGCTTTTTATGTATCTATATCCAGCAGTGTATCAAATGACCAGTAGCTGCAATATTCTTGCTAAATAATGTACGCAAGACATAGTTAAATATTCAGTAAGCAAAAAGAAATATGGCTCTACCCAAACTGTTTTGCAAGAAATATTTTATTGCACATCAACAATCTAGAGCCTAGACAGAGAGAGTAGTATGTTTCATTTACAGACAAACAATTTGCTTTCCAACTCACTCTTAAGACATGTCACTAATTTACTGATATAAAGCTTTTGTAAACATTAACTCATTCAAGCTACAAAAGGGTGTATAACTCAATAAAGGAAAGAAAATAAATCTGTATAATTCAAGTAATCAACAAATTCGTCCTCCAACACAAGCAGAACATCCAGAGATATGATCTGCAACCAGAGCATTGTGACTGAAAGGTGAGAATCCGAATTGTTCATCCGCGAAACAACGTAACCAACAGTCCAAATCGCAATTCTGATGTAACAGAAAATTTTCCACCACCCCTTGCAATTGATATTTTAATTCCTTTGTTCTTGGCACCTTAGTATATCACCGAAAGCATACAGGTAAAAGAAGGCTGAACCAAATTGATTAGCGTTGATGAATATTTGCCAAATGACCTCATCAACTGACATTTTCAGAATGTAATTGCATGCCCTTTTGTCTACTTTGGTTAGTCTTAGCCCATCCACAACTTCAATACTCTGTCCTTACCACCAGAGGCAACTTTCTCACCATCTGGACTCCAATCAACAGCAAAGACCTTTTGGAAACAAATAATGAATCATTTATCAGCATGATGGTTTGGAAAAGAATGCATTTTGTTTACCAATATGTCCATATAGGGGAAGATATTTAACCAAACCTAAAATCCATAAATTCAACAGCACAAAAATGGTTTTTATGTTTTTTTTCCATGGGAAAGAAATAAAAATTTTCCATCAGCAGAAGGATAGCACTTTGTCAAATTAGGTTCTGCACAAAAAGATAAACACAATCTCACTCATTATTTGGAAACAATTGTGTAAAATTACCTTCAGTGTGGAATCTTTTCTACCACTTAAGAGAAGCCTACTATCTGCAGACCAGCTGTACAGCACCAAGCAACATAACCATTAACAGCAAGAATAAATTTATGGATATACAAAACCATGGAATACTACCAACCTGATTTGATAAACAGGCCCAACATGGCCCCGAAAAGCAGCAATGAATTTCCCTGTCGTACCATTCCATAACTTGACAGACTTATCAAATGAGGCACTTGCCACCCATTGCCCATCAGGTGAAAAGTAAACATGGTTCACAAGCTGTCACATATGAACACACAATATAGAAGCCCCATATAAACAGTTAAAAAGCTCTAATTTTTTAACAAAGAAAGCAACTGCTACTAAATATGTCAAGTTTCCTTCCTGTTTAAAACAGAGGTGCTAGTTATTACACCTTCGACTAAATATGTAGCAAAGAAGAGGTATCGGCTATCACCAACTTTTCTTGATGGATGTTAACAAGATATAGGAAAGTTTGGAAAAGGAAACATCGAAGCCGGATAAATACGTCAGCAGATCTCTTATATCTAGTCATAACCATTCTAGTACTCGAGAAAAAGGTGATAGATAAACTGTACCCCAACAAATAATAGCTTATAAACTATAATGCAACCACAAACAGGAAGTAATAATATATAATTTGCACCTGTTGATGACCTGTCATGCGAGTTTTGGGGTGTTTGCTGATAGCAGGTTCCCAGAGGAACATGGTAAAATCATCGGATCCTGAAACCAACCTTTCAGGAGCATTGCCTTTCATTTTATTATACCTCTCCAGTGCAACCTTTGTATATTGATACAATATAATGTATTTAGTTCCAAAAGCAAAATTTAAAAATCGTATAAACTGAACATAGAAATTAGTATGATACTAAAGTAAATGCATGCTTTTATAAATGAGCATGTAAACAACCCAAAAGTTCATACTAGTGCACAGACAAAGGTGACAATCAATTAAACTCAACAAATATGGCATGCACATGAAAACAGAAAGATAACAGAAATGCCAAGCACAAGGTATAGAAGAAAACAAAATTGCAAAAACAAGAAAGTTACCTTCTTCATTTCCTCAGGAGAGGAATACTGTTTGCCAGAATGATCAAAAGCTCCTGTCCGAAGAACATATTTGGCGCTCAATGCAAGGGAATTAACCCAATGTCCATGACCCTAAATGAGTATCATATAAAGAGAGATGAAGGTCAATAGACAGGTCATAGTTAAAAGAAATTTTAAGCCTCAATAATTTAATATTAAAATTTTGGACCTTAAAATCACAGTTCATTCATTAATATAAATGATATTTTGCATATAGTCTGATGTACATTTGGCTGGTTAGAATTTCTGAATACGTAATACCAAGTGCATACATGACTATAACTTGAGAAACAAAATTTATGGTCTCAAAATTTTAAAAAGAAAAGGAGACAGATACAGAGATGGGAGAATACTTCAATGTAATCAAAATAGTAGAAAAATAATAGGAAAAAAAAAAAAAACATACAAATATATTTGTGTAAGTCAAGTTGAATAATCTACCACACTCTTCCTCCAACAAAAAATGTAACATCTACAGATTTGATCTGCAACAAGAGCATTGTAACTGAAAGTGAGAATCCAAACTGTCTATTCCGCGAAACAACCTAACCAACAGTCCACAGAAGTTAAAGATCTATTTTTTCCCCTAAGAAAACAACTGCAACTACATATAGTAGGTTTCAATCCCACATAAAACAGAGGTCCTAGTTGGATGTTAATCCTTCAACCAGAAAAGAGTCAGCAAAGGATATGAAAATGAGAAATATACAGAACTCTAAAAGTAACAGTCCAGCATTCTCACAATTCATGTATACAAGAAATACTAAGATACTAGGTAAGGGGTATACGAGTAACTTTTAGAAACCCTCGGCTGTCTTTGAATTTTGTGAAACCTGAAGGGGATAAAAAATATTCCTGTTCTTAAAGTGTCATATGTAAGGCACTCGTGGACCTTTGTTATGAATAAAGTAGCTACTCATAGCACTAACTCCACTTTAATATATAGATAAAAAAGGGATTCTTTGTACTTAGCTCCAATTGTACACAGGAGAATTCAAATTCTACTTGAACTCTAGTTCACAGAGAGATGGAGAGAATGAGTGGAGAAGGGAAGGTGGTTTGTGTAACAGGAACTTCTGGATTCATAGCTTCATGGTTAGTTAAGCTTTTACTTGAACGTGGTTACACTGTCAAAGCTACTGTTCGTAACCCAGGTCGGTCTCTCTCTCTCTCTTTTGGCTCTTAAGTTGAATCTCTTCAAGTTCTATTTCTGGGTTTAGTAGTCTTACTGATTAGATTGTGACTAGATAAATTGGTCAGAGATTCATGTAATTTTTTTTTTTGGTTACTTTTATTTCACTTGAGAGGCCCAAAATTAACTTTATAAAGTAACTGGTGACCTCCACATGACACTCACAATGATTATAAGCACCATCGAGAAGAAAGCTTTTATTTTGATTGAACTCTTAAATCAAACTGAGTAATTGGTTATATATTAATATGCATGTGCCACAGATGATCCTAAGATAAAACACTTGCATGAACTTGATGGAGCTAAAGAAAGACTTCCTTTGTTCAAGGCAAACTTGTTAGAGGAAGGATCATTTGATTCTGCAGTTGATGGCTGTGAAGGTGTTTTCCATACAGCCTCCCCTGTAACTATGTCAGCCAATGACCCGCAGGTTATGATTATTCCATATATTTCTGTTTCCTCCTTTCGTTGTATGCATGCTCTTTCCAACATTTTTTCTTCCATATTTCAGGCAGAATTGATTGATCCTGCAGTGAAGGGAACCCTCAATGTTCTTAGATCATGTGCAAAAGTTCAGTCTGTCAAGAGAGTTGTTATAACATCTTCTGTAGTTTCAGCTTTATTCAATGGAAAACCTCTTAACCCTGATGTGGTGGTAGATTAGACCTGGTTTTCAGATCCAAGTTTTTGCAAGGAGTCAAAGGTGTGTAAGTGTTCTAATTTCCTGATACTTATGTCTTTAACACGATAATTTCCTTTATTTGAGATTTTGAGCGTATACCCTTTTATGAACTTCTCTTTAGCATAAAGCTTTCTACCTCTTATAATCAATTCACATGATTTATCTTCTATATCCAAAAGATGACAATCACTGACTGTTTGCTAGACACATAAGCATTTAAAGATCTCAATGTACACTTTCTGTTTTTTGCCCTTTATGTAGAAGATTTTGGTGTGTTCAGCATATAATTTTGTGGCCTAAGTTTATGTGGAAGATTTTGGTGTGTTCTACATGAAGAGTTAAAAGGAAAGTTAATCTTACGATGAAGACTTGAAGTGTGATTAACTTGCTGGTATCTACATCTAAGAATTTCTTCGTACTTCATTTACCCAAGTAGTAGAAATCAGAATTTCCTTGGTGATACACCTATTTTCACATAAGATGAATCTTTTGGAATTCTGGTTGGCTCATCTTTTTCTTTTTCACTGTAGGTTAATCTTGTTGAAAAATGGCTTTTAGCAAAATCATATGGGGTAGCAATGATAATGGAGAAAGGTTTAGGGACTTATATGTAATATGCCAAAAAAATGTTAGTTTGTCCCACATTGATTAGGATTGAAAAGTGGGAAACTTTTGGGGCCTATATATAAAGACCTAAATCAATGTTATTTGTATCCCAAGTTGTAATTCTATTATACTTCTTTTGTTTAGGGTTCTTTCTTTAAGGACCCTTTAGTTTGTAAGTTTTGTTGTATCTCCCCTTTGTTTTGGGTATTTGTTGTATTGCCCAAAAGTTTGTAATGTTTTGGAGATAGTGGAGTTTTCTTTTGCAGCGCCCGAGGACGTAGGTTTCAATACCGAACCTCGTTAATTCCTGGTATTCTTTATTTTTGCATTTAATTTTGGCTATTTATTTATGCTTTACTACTTGTTATTATTATATTCAATAGCTAGCGTTAGAGTTTATGTTTCCGTTGCATAACAAATCTAATTTTGATTTTCTTACAGTTGTGGTATCCTCTTTCAAAGACCTTAGCCGAAGAGGCAGCTTGGAGATTTGCAAAAGAGAAAGTGATATGAATTTCTTCAACCTCAATTCATATACTACCCTAAAACAACCACTTTTGACTCAACCTAGGCTAGGTTTTCTTCCAACTCCTTATGACCATTCGGTTATCACACTTTCTACACTTTCACAACCATCAAATAACTAAAAACAACTCCTTATATCAAACTCCAGTCATTCACAAAATCATTTATATTCAAATGCACCACAAATGGATTCATACACACCATGCAAAACAAAATCCGGAAAATGAGTTTACTTGAAACTAAAGGATAACAACTTACATAAGAGATGACCAAGGAATCAATCAAGCCTAAAGGAAACTCCACCAGCTTGATAGACACTCCCCACCAAGTTTGGGTTGAACGTGGGTAAAGGAAAAACAAGAGAAAACACTTTCTCAAGATAAACCTATTCATTCAATATTCAAAGTCACTTTACAAAATGATCAAGTGGCCTTTATATAGGCTTTACAAAAATTAGGGATTTACCCTAGTAAATATTACATAATGAAAGCATTAAAATATTACATTCAAATTAATAAACAAAAGTCCACCACACATGTTAAAAACAAACCATAACCATTTAATGATTAAGTGGACAACTTTTCCCTAATTTAAGGACCCTTGTCCTTAACAACATTTTTAGGGTTTTTCCTCCAAAATTTGAATCAATGACACCCAAAACTGGGCTTGGGCCATGAAACTTGCTCCCACTTCTTGTTCACGTTTTTGGTCACAAACTTGGCTTGAGCCGTGCCTTGGAACCTAAGACCTCTTGGACAATTTTGTGAACTTCCTGAGTGCTTGATGCTTGGCCGTGTTGATCTTCATGTTGTCCTTGAGTCTTCATTGAAATCCCTAGCTTTTGTGATGGGCATGATGGGCTAGGATTCTCATTATCCTCCCCGGGTTGAGGAGGATTTGTCCTCAAATCCAAGTATGCCATCTCTAAGTATGGAGACAAGTCCCAATGTTGAAAGTAGCCGAAACATTACCAAATTCAGGGTAAATCAATCTTATATGCATTATCCCCAACTCTCTTAAGGACTTCAAAGGGACCATCGGCCCTAGCCAACTTGCTTTTCCTCTTGGAAGGAATCTCTCCTTTCTTAAATGAACCCATACAAGATCACCCGGTTGGAAAATGGTGGTTTCCTATGTTTGTTGGTTTTCTTTCTATAGGCTTCATTAGATTTTGCTATTTGAGCCCTATGTTTCATTAGCCTCTTCATGGACTTGTCTTCTCCTTAGCATCAAGACCAATTGGATATCAAGGGGTAGGATACTAAGTTCTATGGGAGTGATAGGGTTAAGGCCATAAAGAACTTCAAAAGGAGAGTGGTTATGGTAGCACTAGGGGCCCTATATAGGCAAACTCGGCATGCTAACTTGTTTCCCAACTCTCAAACTCTTGCTCACCAAGTTTCTAAGGATGGTTCTTAGGGTTCATTGGTGACTTCGGTTTGACCATCATTGTGGGTGATGGGAAGTGCTAAACAAAAGTTGGGTACCCAATCTACTCCACAAAGACCTCCAAAAATGGCTAAGAAATTTTGAATCCCTATCCAACACTATGCTCCTTGGTACACCATGCAATCTCACAATTTCTTTGAAAATTTAGTCCACATGTGATCACATCATTGGTTTTATTGCATGCAAATGTGCCTTTTAGGAATCTATCAACAACACCATTATGGAATCTTTACCTCTTTGGGTTCTCGCAATGCCACAATGAAATCCATGCTCAAGTCTTCCCATGGTTGTTGTGAATGGGCAATGGAGTGTACATCCCCGGCTTGAAATGACTCTTAGCCCTATGACAAACCCCACACCTTGCCACTATGGATTGGACATCCCCAATCATCTTAGGCCAAAAGAAATGATCCTTAAAATCTCCACTGTTTTTTGAAACCCAAAATGACCCGCAGCCCTCCACCATGCACTTCTCTTACAAGTAATTCTCTAAAACTCCCTTGTGGTACACATAACTGGTTTCCCTTAAACAAAAACCCTTCTTGACCACATATCCTCAAAGCTCCCCTTTGAACACTTAGCCATAATTTCGGCCATTTGTTCATCTTCTTTGTAATGCTCCCTCATCATGCTAAACCCAAGTACTCTTGCATCCAAAATGGAAAGGATGAGTACCTCCTTGACAATGCATCCGCAACTACATAGTACTCTCTTGCTTGTACTTGGATACAAATGAAAAGGATTGAAGGAACCCAACCCATTCGCATGCCTTGAATTCAACTTAGGTTGCCCATTGATAAACTTGAGAGCTTGGTGATCCGAATGCAACACAATTTGTTAGGCCTCAAATAATGACTCCAATGACTAAAGCTCTAATAATGGCATAAAACTCTTTATCATAAGTGCTATATCTCTCCTAATCATTAGTTTCTCACTGTTAGAGTCATGAAGTGACTCTATTTTGGTGATAAAATACCCCATGTGTGATTAAATTGAAGTATATTGAGATAATTAAGAATTTATGAATTTATTCATGAAAATCGCTTCCAAATACTTTTCTTAAGATTTAACGTGTTTAGAATGATTTTGGAAAGTATATGAGTTGATATTATTTGTGATTTATGGATTAAGGGTATTTTGTCTCATTTATGCTGTTTTGGGGGTAAAATGTCATGTTTCAAGGGGCTGATTCGTCATGTTTCAATCATGCAGGGACCAAATGAGAATTTGCCAAATTTTGTATAAAACTCCAGTTCAAGTTTGCAGAAACGTGGCTGCCGCCCACCAAAACTCTTCACCTTCTCCGATCAAGCCCGGCAACCCTCCATCGGCATTTCCGGCGACGTTTCGGCTTCCTCGTGCACCGGTCACCATCATCCCACGTCCCGGACCACCACCGCGAATCACAGAAGCGCCGCGGCGTTTCATCTTCCCCCACCGCGACTCTTCGTCTCCCCGCCAGTTTTGGCCATTTTTCGATGACGTTCCAGCTCCAAGGGTAGATCTTCATTCCTCATAGCCGGATCTACATTCCAGCTTCACCGCCGCGAAAACCGTCGGAATCCGCGGTTTGCCGTCACGCCTCTTCATCTTCCAGGCCAGATCTTGCTCATTTCGCGACTTCTCCCCTCCCCAGGACCTGATCTGAACTCCCCATCACCAGAGCTTTCCATCGTACCTTCGGATCCCATTTTCGCCACCGTTTTTCGGAGACCCGCCGGAAAATTAACGTTTTTCCAGCGAACGCGGCTGTTCGTATCCGGGCCGTCCGTTGGTCGTTTTCGCCCTTCTTCGCATCATATCGCTGTCGGTTACCTCATCTTCACCATGATCACTCTGTTTCCACTGTTTCAGCCTCCGTCTCACCACCATGCGCGGCTAAGCTCCTGGTTGTCCGTTACGTGTAGGCGAGATCGAGATTGACTCCACTGATCTCCTCATCGCTCTCGACTAGTTGGATGAGCCCGAATGTGGATATTTGGTTAAGTTTTTATTCAGATATATTTGTTTTCGTTCAGTTTGTTTGCGATACTTTATATATATTCTGGTGCCCGTGGTTGAATGATAATGCATTGAGACCGTTTATTGATATATACTTTTCGCATAATTGAATGTCGGTTTGGATTATTGAATGTTGATTATGACTTTAAATTGCTTCGGTTGATTGCATCAATTTGTAGTAGCGTTTAATGTCATCTCTACAGGAATGCATTTATGTGTAATTAGTTGATTGGATGATACAGGTTGATAGGTTGTACTTGTTAACGTTGTAACCAACTAGTGGTGTTTAAGGGTTTAGCATTTTTCGGTTAGTCAATGATAGTCTTTAACCAATCGATCTGTACCTAAGACGACGGGAGACAGGATAGATTAGCCTAGATTGCCGGGAGATATCTATGGATTTGCCTAGCGTGTAGGATTAGGAAATTGAGAGCGAGGAGAGGAATTGTGAGAGTTGTGTCTTGAGTCAAACCGAACCCGTAGCGACAACGCTTTTAAATTGAGTTTTAGTAGCAATTTATTTAATGCTTTTAATTTCCTGCAAGTAATTAGTTTCCTTAGTTTTAATCAATCATTTTGCCAATTTCTCTTTCGTTAACTCAAATATACATTAGGTCGTTAGTCTGTCTCTGTGGATTCGACCCTGCTTACCGCTAACTACGGTACTTAGGTTTAATTTTGTGACCGTGACGACCGGTCTAACACTCACTAAAATATGCCAATGGCCTTTTATCTTGAGTAAGGACCGCACCTATCCCTACTCCACTATCATCACACTCCACTTCAAACACCTTAAAAAATCGGGTAAAGCTAGAATTGGTGCTTCACAAAGCTCCTTTTAATCACTTCAAATGCATCTTTTGCCTCCCTTGTCCACTCAAAATTCCCCTTTTTCAAGCGCTCGGTGATGGGTGACATTAGGGTAATAAGTTGGGCACAAATCTCCTATAAATGAGGCTAACCATGAAAGCTTCTTACTTCACTAATGGCCTTAGGTTCGGGCCAGCTTTTAATTGCTTCAACCTTAGATTGATCAACCATAATTCCCTCTCCGAACCACATAGCCTAAGAAGACACCCTCTCCTAAAAAACTCACATTTCTCCATCTTAGACTATAATTTTTGTTTTCTCAATCTTCACACTTGCCTAAGTGGTTTTATGATCATCCTCACTATGACTATACACTAATTTGTCATTAAATAACACAACAAATCTGCCCAAAAAAGGTTTAATACCTCATTCATCAATCGCATGAAGGTGCTTGGTGCATTGGAGAGGCCGAAAGGCATGACCATCCATTCAAAAAGCCCTCCCTTGGTTTTGAAGGCTGTTTTCCCTCATCCCCTCTCTCATTCGGATTTGATGGTACCCACTTCGTAAGTCTATCTTGGAGAGTGCAAGAGCCATGTAACTCATCAAGCTGTCATCAAGCTCGGTATGGGAAACCTATACTTGATGGTAATTGATTGAAGCCCTACTATCCACACACATCCGAAAACTTCCATCCTTTTTTGGTACCAAGAGGGCTGGAACCAACAAGGACTCATGTCCTCCCTCACATACCCTTGACTAATTAGCTCATCCACTTGTCGTTGCAACTCTTTGGACTCT